TCCCACATGGGAAACAGACTCAGAGCGAGGCTTGGCTTAGTTCAGGGTCCCCGTGTCCAGTGTCCCCCATGGCCACCAGAGGCTGGCCCACAGGCAGTCCCCCAGCTTGATGACCCTGGTTTGGGCTCCCTGCTGATTTAGCCTGGAGGGAGCCCTGCGTGGCCAACGGCTGGATGCAGGATGGGATGAGGGGGCTGGCTCCCCCTGCAGGCTGTGGCTCCCCCCAAGTCCCCTGGGGTGGTCAGCACCTGGCCTCCCCCTGGGGGGCGGTGGGGGGAGCTCTGTCTCTGGCAGGTGCATGGCCCCCAGCCGACAAGGAGGCAGCCAAGGGCCTGGGTTTCGGCTGGACTCCCCACGGCTTTGCCCACCCCTCCGAGCCACCAGGCCCCCCCAGTGCTGGTCCACATCTCCACCTGGGGCCAGGCCACGCACACACTCCCACACTCCATAGCCTGAGGGCTGGCCATTCTTCTCTCCTGGGGCCTCGGTGGGCACTCATGTGTCCCTGCAGAAGTGGACGCTGACCCTGGGGCAGGGGCCGGACCTTGACACAGATCCCCACGGGCTCCATCCAGGAGCTGCTGGACCTGGTGGGACCTCCTTGGGCAGCCGCTGCCATGGCCTGTGACCTCGGCCGACTTCCTGACATGTCCCAGCCTCCCTGCTCCCCGGCCCGAGCCCTCTGCCATGCCTGTGTCCCTGGGTCATCCTGCGGACAGGGTGGGGGAGCCGATGGAGCCCCGGGTGCTGGCGGGGCTCCCCAGTGAGCGCAGCCTGCCTGTCCCATCCCAGGGGGTCCTCGGGGGTCCCAGCGGCTGCCCTCTCAGCCCCCGCCGCCTGCCGGGCTGTGTGTACTCTCCGTGCAGGACTTCATGTTCCATCCAGCACGACTGCTGGTTTTTCCCAAGAGGTGGCCTCGCTTGTCCCAGGCCGAGCCTCGGGGTGGGGGGCGGAGGGCGCAGGGTGGGGCAGCAGCTCTTCCTGCCAGGTGGGCCTGTCCCCCCTCCCGTCCCTCCTCCGCCTGCACCAGTGCCTCGCGGGCGTCCTTCTGCCCCTGACAGCTCAGCTGCGGCTCCTGGCAGCTGGTGAGGGGCCAGGCGCCCACCCACTCCCACCCCCCGCCCCATCTCTATTCTGAGTCACCCATAGCTGGTGAGCGGGCGGGGCCGGCAGGACGGGTGTCAGGGCTGGGAGGGCCGCATCCCTGCGGGGCCTTGAGGAGTCTGCAGCCTGGGGGCGCGTCCTGGCCTTGGGGACTGAGTGTCTCTGTGCACCTGCTTCCGTGGCTGGGACTGCCAGCCACAGGCATCCTCTCCCACTTGTGGGTACAGCCTCTCACCTCCCTCGGCTTCCTGACTCCACTTGGGGTGACCCACCCGACGGGGACCTGCCTGGGGAGACCCCGCTTGGGGAGAGACTCTGGGGGGGCTTTACCTGGGGCAGACCCTGCCTGGGGGCCTCTACCTAGGGGAGACCCTGCCTGGGGGGCCCTGCCTGGGGCACTTGCTGTGTGGAGCTGGCTTCGGTCTCCTGCTGCCATTTCTCGGGACATTATTGGAGTGAGGTGGGTAAGGCCTGCTGTGTACGTGGAACAGATGGCACCCACATGTGGACATGTGTGGCAGGTGTCTGTCCCTTCTTGCCCCTTGGGGGCCCCTCCCCATCCCCCTCCTGCCATGCCAATGACAGCCCCAAGCAGCCCCTGCCTCTTCCCACTCGCGGGTGGCTCCTGGGGTCTGGGAAGTGCTGTCCCCGTGGGGGTGTGTAGGGCTCTGCCAAGTCTCCTGTCCCCAGGGCTCACAGCACAGCTGCACCTGCTCCGTGTGACCTGGGACCTGCGTGCGTCCCCTGGGCCCCCGGACACAGTCAGTGCTGACCTTGCTCGGGTCTTCAGGATGGAAGAAGGCAGAGGGGCCTCCCCTCTCTGAGGTGGGGTTCCCAGAAGTTGGGGGAGCAAGTTTGCCCTCACTGCCTCGGCCCCCCACTTCTGTCCCCACCCTGTCCGTGGAAGACGACCTCAGAGGTGCAGTCCCTGTGGCTAGTGCACGTGGGGGGTGACACAGACTGGGTCTGACAAGGAAGACTGGGGAATGGAGACCACCCTCTGGGGGCGGGACACATGGGGTGTCAGTAGGGCAGACTCGGGTTCTCGCGTCCTTAGCACAGGTGCTGTGTGTGCCCTGTGACAGGTACCAGCGTTCCCTAACAACACACTAACCTGTGGGAGCGGGGCCGCAAGCAGCAGGTGCTGGGCCGCAGGGCAGCTCCAGGTGCCCCAGACACTCAGGACACCTGGCCACAGCCCTGGGAGGGCCCTTTTGAGCCTCATGGCTGGTCTCAAGGCTGGCCTGGTCCCTTGGACCGTGCGGCCCCCACAGCCCTAGCAGGTGCCTGGTGAACCCTCCTGGGGTAGCCTGCTGCCTGCCCAGCCCGGACATCATTACAGTGGACATGGTCAGAAGGGGTGCTGGGCTGGGGTCCCTGGGGTGCTGGTGGGCCCTGGGCAGGGCGGGTGGTGTCCCAGCTGCACCCCCCCCAGGCCTGCTCAGTGACCACTGCTGTGGTGTCTGAAGTCCCTATAGTCTTCTGTGGGCAGCCAGAGCCCCAGGAGGGAGGCAGGTGCAGGGATGAGCAGGGGCAGCGAGGTCCCGGGGTTCATCAGGATCGCCGGCCCATCCCACACCCTGCTGCCCGCTGGGGAACCGGGTGGGCTGCAGGTGTCCTTCCTGATCCAGCTGACAATTTAGGGCCGGGACATGCTTCTTGTGGACCAGACTGGGTTAAATTTGGCTCACTTCACCATGACCATGATGGGGTTCATGGTGTTGTTTGGAAGTTAAGTAATGATTCCTTGCAGGAAGGAATCAAAGGCTGTGGGCAGGGCTGCACCTGCTCCGTGTGACCTGGGACCTGCGTGCGTCCCCTGGGCCCCCGGACCCATCCTGGGTCAGGGAATATCGGCTTAGACAATTAATTTCTGGGCAGATGTCACCGTCGCAGGTTTTGGGAACATGCCTTCACTAATCCATGGCTTTTGCTCATTGAGACCGATCAAACCGTTTTTTAAAAAACAATATTTTCTCTCATTATAAAAGGAACACAAGATTGTTGTCAGAGTTGGGGGAAATACAAAGAATAAAGTAATTTATTGTTTAATAATCCCATCATTCTGCTTCTTAGGGGGAAGTGTGGTCACGGTCTGGATGCGGCTCTTTGCGGCGCGTGTGTGTTGTGACTTCGCGTCACAGCCTCTTCCCGCCCCGTGCGGCCGGCCTCACAGCGAGGGGGATGGCCCGGAGCGTCAGTGACCTGCTGGGGCTATGGGTGGGTGCCAGCATGTGGCCCAGCAGCCAGGCTCCCCTTCTTGGCGCCACACAAGTGATTTCTCTCACCCAGTGCGCTCGGCAGTCGGTCAGTCTTTGGGATGGGGCTGTGCCCTTGGGGACAGCTACAGTCTTTTCTGTATTGCTTACTTCCCAAAAGGGGGTTCCCATGTGCATTTTTCTCCTGATTTTTATGTATGAAAACGACCCCAGCTCCCACCTCCCCACCCCCCTGAGCTCTCCCTGCCTGAGCGTCACTCCGTCCCGGTCCACACGTGGAAGTGCTTCTTGGTTGTCGTGCACACGTGGGGGGAATCAGCTCTGACGGTCCTGGGACGGTTGGCAAAATTGGAATACAGACTGCAGGTTATGTTCACGTTCTGTATCGCGTTCGACTTACGGCACTGAGATCGGGCCAGAGAGCGTCCTCGTTCTTAGGACATGTTCACGGGCTGTCACCTGGTAGAGCACGTGGAGTGTGGGATTTCTCTCAGACGCTCAGAAAAGGTAAGTGTGTGTAAGGCGTGACGTTCCCGCTCAGGAAAGGCCCGTGCGTGTTTGCAAGTGTGTCCCAGCCTAGCACTGTTACACGGTCCGGGAAGAGCTGACCACAGATGAGGCAGCCGGCTCCCTTCCTGCAGAAGGACCTTCTGGTGCCTGGGTCTGTTCCCCCCAAGCCCAGGTGGGGACCAGGGACCAGCAGGTCTGGGGAGGCCTGCAGAGTTTAGCACGTTCGCCGCACACCACAAAGCCTTCCTGATTTACCAGGGATCGGCAGACAGATAGCACCCACCTGCTGGTACAGTAATGTGCTCCCCAGACCCTTGCTCCGAGGGGCTCAGCACGTGCAGGGGTGGGTGGGGGCTCAGGACCCCTGGTGCCCCCTCCCTGCCCTTGGGACCCCCTGCCTCTCTTGACGGTTTGGCCACACCTGTGTGCCCAGCGTCCTGCGTGTGTTGACCTCTGTGAAAGATAGCACATTTTGGGTCTTCCTTTGTAAGTGGCTTGTTGGCTCAGCCTGTGTTGGGGAGTTGGGGTGGTGTGCCCGCGTTGCCGATGGGTGATTCTATTGTGCAGCTGTAAACATTTTAATTCTGTGTTCTCTAGTCAATGGAAAGATGGATATTTTCAGTATTTTGCTTTTAAAGTCCCCATCAAATTTTAAAATCCTCCTGGTATCCTGATAGTGTGGAATAGAACGTTTCTGATAAATGGCTCAGTCCTTAGAGGCCCAGCCTCTGGAACAGAAGCACTGGCCTCGAGGGGCAGGGAGGAGGGCCGGGAGGGCCCCCAGGACCTCCTCCAGCCCCATGGCCACCGACGAACACGCTCGACTTCAGCAGGAGGCTCCGACGAGTCTGGAATTAGGACACATAAGTGGAGGACAAATCGGGGCTGTCAGCTCTGCCAAGAAATATACAGCACTTTGTCCTCCCGAACCACCTTGGGGCTCCCCGCCTCTGCCTCCGTGGGCCTCTCGCCACAACACCCGGCAGCCTCTTCCCGCCCTGGCGCTGCCGGCCAGGGGACCTGGGCAGTCGGCGGGCGCGCGCGGAGGGAGGCGGTGGGCACCTCCCGGGCCGTGAGTGTGTCTGGCACCCACTGGTCTCAGTGCTGGGCCCGGGGGGTCACGGCTGCTGGGGCATGAGGTCACACCGTGTTGCTCTCTGTCCGCAGATCACCAGAAGCTGGAGAGAGAGGCTCGGATCTGCCGCCTTCTGAAGCATTCCAACATTGGTGAGCAGCCCTCCCGGGGGCGGGCGCAGGGGCCCAGTCTCTCTGCCCCATGGCCAGAGGCTTTCTCTCCCAAAGATCACGTTTGCACAGGGACACCCAGAGGCCTCCTTCTCCTTCTCCGTAGAAGTGTCCCCACCCTCAGGCGCTTGGCAATGGCTCTCCCTCCTGACCGGCGGGGACCCTGGGGGCTCCGGGCAGCTCCCTGTGGCAGCTCCGCCTGGATGGGTCCCCGCCCATCGCTCTAACTCCCAGCTGTGATCCTGGCAGAAACATTCTGTGGCTTCAGAAAAGCCACAAGACGGCCCAACTAAGATGAAAAACGGATGGAAACGGAAAACCTCAAAGGCCGTGCCAAGCGCCGTCCTGGCCTGAGGTCTGAGGTCTGGTTCTGGAGAACCACCGCTGTCCCCTGCTGGTCCTTGCCGCTGCGGTCTGGGGCGGTGGTCCCGGCAGGGGCTGCAGAGCCCCGGGAGCCTGGGGCCTTGGCCTCAAGGACGGTTGCCCTTTTGTGAAAGCCCAGATCCTCCTTGTGCACCCACAGGACCCTGGAAGTCAGCGGGGCCTCCCGGGCCGCTTGACCTCCACTCATCCACATGCCTGCCCCTCACCCCGGCGGCTCTGGGGTGGTCCCTGCCTGCTACCTTGGGGAGCAGGTGTGTGTGTCCTCCTGCCCGCCCTGCTCCACCACTGGTCCTGTAGGGACTCCTGAGGAGCCCCCTGTGGAAAGGAGCCGGGAGGCACCGACGGGCCATTGAGTTTGCTGCCTCAGGGGGCAGCCAGGGAGCTTGTCAGGGTGGAGTCTGGGCCCCTCCTTCCACGGTTCCTGCTCAGTTGTGCCAGGACAGGGCCCAGGACTCTGTTTAATAGGAATGGCAGGCCGGGTGGCTCAGCCACTTCTGGAGCCCCTGGCCTGGGGGGTGCATGCTACTCCCAGCTCCCAGGCCAGGGCCTCAGCCTCGGGGAGCCCCAGGAGGCTGCAGGAAGCCTCAGCCGGTCCTTAGAGCCGGCCCTGGGAGCTCTGCCCAGAGGCCTGTGGCCCTGCAGGACCCGTGGGAGGGGTGGCAAAGTCAACACCCCCCTACTTCCTGGGCATCCCCCCGCCCTGTGCCCACAGGAAGCTTCAGCCCTGGGCACGGGCCAGGCCCTTTTACTTCTAGCTTGTCAAGCTGCGTGTCTTGGACCCACTGGCATGCAGGGTCCGGACTCAGAGGCCTGGCATGGGCCCAGGAATTGGAGCTTCACCAGTGTGCCTGGTGGTTCCGATGCCGGCGTCCGCAGGGACCCCAGCCACTCTTCACTGGCGGGGTGGGGGGGGTGGGCACATGGTGGGCTTCAGTCCGACCTTCCAGCTCCCCGGACACCAGTCACCTGCTCACCCTCACCACCACCCCGCCAACTCTGCCCACCCCTCTGCCCTTGCCAGCCCCCTCCCCTGCATCATCTGAGCACCAGCTGAGAGTGGGTCAGGAATTCCCTTTTAATAGGGGAGGACCCAGGTGTTCTCTGGGTTGGTGTTTTGTGACAGTTTTTCAAAAGACATCTCCTTGCCCTGCCTGGATGCCCAGTGTTGTTCCTGGTCAGTTATGCTCAGTCCCTGAAGTCCTCATAGCAGCTTCATTCCAGAACATGGGGAGGCAGAGCTGAGACTGGGGTGCAGAGGGAACATTCCAGAACATGCGGAGACAGAGTGAGACTGGGGTGCACAGGGAACATTCCAGAACACGGGGGAGGTAGAGCTGAGATTGCAGGGTGCAGAGGGAACATTCCAGAACACGGGGAGGCAGAGCTGAGACTGCGGGGTG